GTGAAGTCTGGCGGGATTGGCGGAAAGTAGCCAACATGGGCAAAAGACATAAAGTGATAGAAAATCAAGAATCACGCAATGAAGAATCGAGTAAAAGGACTGATGCGAGGTTGGGAAAACGGTTGTCAGAGAGTAAGGGACGGAAAATTAAGGCCGAAAATGACGTTATTCCTTATAGGCGTAAGTTTTGTGAGAAATGGCTTCACCTCCCAGAAGTAAGAGACTGGATATATCCACTCACAAACGAGCCTATGCTAGTCTGGTGCAAATTTTGTAAAACAAAGATACGCGCGCATCTAACTGACTTGAAAATCCACAACAAAACCCTAAAACACAAGCGAAATGTAGGGTCTCTTCGACCTGAAGTTCCTCGAGATGTCTTCAAAGTGGAGCATGGTATTCAGGTTCCTGCCTCGTCGAAACATGTTTTTGCGGATATGGTAGGTAAGTAACACTTATAAATCATCATCATCACCACCGTCGCAATGTCCGCTCTCGGGTTCACGTTGCAGCAGCAGGAGGGAGAGCCTTGGCAGCGCTGTCAAAGACGGATCCAGCAGACGCTTGCTCGGCACCTCGCTTTTCTGATCTCTCAGGGAACTGTCTTCATCGGAGAACGGCTGACATGGGTCTATCAGATGACGTCGAACCTAGGTTAGCAAAAGGCAAGTATGGGTGTTTAAGCAGATGTCTCTTGTGCAATGTGCAATTGCCGGTGACAATAGATGTCTGCAATGGATGTGTCACCGACTCCCAGGGAAAATACGTTTTTTGAATCCGGAAAAAAATGAACCTACATGCAATTTTTCACAGTTAGCAATATATCATTGTCTCATATTCCATTCTGCGCCCAGCGAGAAATGTATTTGCCACGTCTCCTGCAATACAGGCTGATCGAGTGAAGCGACGCTGGCGTGGACTCGGCCCGGGTGCTCCTGAGTAAATATTATTTACCCAATATCATGTCAGTCTAATTGGTTAGGTTGAAGAGAACTGTCACAATTGTATCAATAGAACAGAGAAAAGGAGGGTGGTTGGATGTAAACAAATAAAGGAAAAAATTATATCGGTAGACGGACAACAGAGGTGCGTGTTGTACGGTTAATGTCGCAGTGATAATATCGGTTAGTGCCAATACAACTCAGTAAAAAGACAAAAAAAAAAAAAAAAAAAAAAAAAAAAAAAAAAAAAAAAAAAAAAGTAAATACCGTTAATGTTACGTGCAAGGAATGAGAAGGGTTGATTTTCATGCAACAAAATGACAAAAAACAAATTTATTCAAATGTCTAAGTATATACACATGCATAATATTTACATACTTGGTAGACATGTATGCTGTTTATTTTAAACTTCTGTATATTTTACAATGTTATGATGCTCACATTATGGGAGATTCTCCTTTTCTTTCTCAGAAATATAAAGCTTACATGTGTGGGAAGATTCATTGTTTGTTATGTATTGTTTAATTTTAATGAATCGCCTTTTAGCCAAAAAATAATATATGCAAACGATAGAGCGAGTGATTCTAAGAAACTGGTTTTGTATGTACTTAAACCGCAACTCAAAAGTAACAAGTTTATTTGACACGCAAGTGTCTCAGAGCCCGTTTTGTTGCAAAGAACAAGTTGTATTTGTTACTGAGAATAATGCACTTTCCAGAGATTGTCCTAATACCCACAACACAAACCTAACCTCTTCTACCTTCTATTCATTCCCAAGACAGGAGGGCAAAAGCCCCTTTAACCCCCCCCCTCCCTCTATTAGCATTTCATGTCAACTTACAGAAGACCAATAATAAGAACTCTGGCTGTGAGGGTGTTCTGGATTTATTCTCAGAGCAATGATATGCAGTGGATATTTTTGCCATTTCACAGTAAATGTGAGGCCGTAGCAGCTGAACCTGTATTGTATATGACTCTTCTTATACTCTATTTCCCTCTATCTTCGTGTTGCTCTTGGTAACATTAACTGAACAAGCTAGCATTCAAATACAGCAGTTAGATATATGTTATGATGCTGATTCCTATCAAACATAGAATGAGAATGTGATATGGTTTTGTTATGATTTAACTTCCTCCATGACTTGTGTGTATAGGCATAGTACTTGCTCTTGCCTCAGCACCAAATGGCATTTGTAAAGATGGCCAGCACATCCTCCAGGAATGGATAGAGCTTGGACAGACTCTTCATTTAACAAACATCCTGGTTATATAAATATAGATGCTATTTCTTAAAGGATACACCAAATGTATATGTTTTTGTAATATGACATGAAAGTGGCTTTGCCATTGTTTATTTTAGGGTACATTTCCAAACAAAATATACATTACCTAAGATGATGCATTGCCAAAAAAAAAGGTTATAATAGAAATGTCATCGATGAAAAGTTCTTAGATGACACCAATCTCTTGATACCACATACATTTTACCGTATGGGCAATGTCAAGCATCTATGAGAAAATTGGTAATTAAGCAAGTGATATAGGTAAAATCTTGAAATTGAAAAGTATATGCACACTTTTTCAGAAGCCCATGCAGATGATACAGATAGTGACACAAAAGATGTCATACATTTTTCAGATGTTGAAAACAGTGACGTAACAAGTACAGAAATGGCAGAGCGAGAAGTTTTAAATCCTGCGAACATTGGCTTCATAGGATGTGGCAATATGGCACAAGCTCTCCTCAAAGCCTTTGTTAAAGAAGGTAAGGAGGTATTATTTTATCATAAATAGATATATATATATGTATATAAATTGAGAAAGGTTGTCAGTGGTGTCATTGCTGGGCCCCAGCAAAAATAAATCATTGTAGATATGTTTTGAAACCATATGTGATGCCAGTTTGAATATATGTTCTAAAAGATTAGGCTAGTTTTTATGCAGGCTAAGTAAGATAAACTCCCAATGACCTATGCTGCATTTTATCTGGTGTATTGTGATTTTGAAGATGCATAATACCCTTTTAAGCATTTTGGAAAGTGTTTATTAGTACTCTTGTACTCTTCATACCATTGTAACCAGTTCCCTTTGAGACAATAATATGCAGCTTGCTAGTAGTAGTTTTCATTTTTAGTGCTGTTGTTATCATTATTAAATATATTTTTCATTATTTTCTGTATAACATTATTAAGTGTGATAATCCTTTGCAAAAAATCAAGGAATGGGGTAAAGAGATGACGTTCTGTAAACCAAGGAATTGAATCCTTGGTGGCTAGGCTATGCATCTCTGAAATGATCAATGAATGTAAAATTGATAAAACAAAACCAGTGGACAGTGACATCATTGATTTATCCCAGTGATGCTAGGTATATGTTATCTCTCCTTTAGTTTTAATTTTGTTTACAGACAAATGGGTCCAGAAGTGTTTTTTCTCTATGGAGTCAGTCAGTAGACCTACCTGATTTATTCACCCAGTTCATGAATTTTCAGGGGTAAAAAAGGTTTTATCTCAGATTTTTTTATATTTCTGCTACTATTATTATTGTTATTATAGTTGCTATTATTATTTTTTGTTATAGTTGCCAAAGAATTAAGGAAGATGATAAAATATTATTACTCATAACCTGAAATTTCAATGGATGGGGAAAAAGAGGAAGTAATATTAAATAGGATTTGTTATTAAATCCTTGTGATGTAATGGGAGTCACATGTGTTTAAAAAAAGTGAACAAAACCTTAGTAGGTAGTGTAGATATACATATACTCCTGGCATGAATGGGTTAAAAGGAGGGATAATATGAACAATATAATTTTGTCTGATATTTCTTGAACATTTTTATTGTGGCATTTCTCAAAGTCTGTTTGACAGATTTTCTAGGGAGATTTTGTAAAAGATGGCCGAATATTTTGAGCAAAAGGTTCAAAATTTGATGTTTCATCAACAGGCCTTGTGGATCCATCCCAGGTGGTTGCCAGTGCCCCGTCAGACAGAAATTTGTCAAAAATACGACCCATAGGAGTGAAGACAACAAATGACAACAGTATGTTATTCATATTGGATGGAAGGTGGCTTTCTATTTTTTTTATATATTTTAAAAATTTCCCTTATCTTTCAGTATTCTTTCTCTTTTTGTATATATATATATTTTTTTTATGGCTCTATGTCCTCATTCTAACTCCTTATTACACCCCTCTCCCTTTCCCTCCCTCCCTGCTCCTCCCTCCCTGTCTCCCTCCCCTGTCCCTCCCTGTCCTCCTCCTCCCTCCTCCCTCCCTCCTCTCCTCCTCCTCCTCCCTCCTCCTCCCCCTCCTCCTCCTGCTCCCTCCTCCCTCTCTCTCTCTCCCTCTATCTCCTTCTCTCTCTCCCTCTCTCCCTCTCTCCCTCCTCCCTCTCTCCCTCTCTCCTCTCTCCCTCTCTCTCTCTCCTCTCTCTCTCTCCTCTCTCTCTCTCTCTCTCTCTCTCTCTCTCTTCTCTCTCTCTCTCTCTCTCTCTCTCTCTCTCTTCTCTCTCTTCTCTCTCTCTCTCTCTCTCTCCTCTCTCCCTCTCTCCTCTCTCTCTCTTCTCCCTCCTCTCTCTCTCTCTCCCTCCCTCCTCTCTCCCTCCTCTCTTCCCCTCCCTCTCTCTCTCTCTCCCCTCCTCCTCTCTTCCCTCCTCTCATCTCTCTCCTCCTCCCTCTCTTCTTCTCTCCTCACCTCTCTCTCTCTCCGCTCCTACCTCTCTCTTTCCTCCTCCTCCTCTCTCCCCCGCCTCGCCTCTTTTCTCTGCCTCCTTCGCTTCTCCGCTCCCTCCCTTTCGCTTCTTCTCCGCTCCCTTCTTCTCCTCCTCCATTTCTTCCTGCCCTTCTTCTCGCCCTCCGTCCTTTCCTTCCCCTCCTGCCCTTCCTTCTCCTCCTCCTCCTTTCCTCTCCTCCTCCGTCCTTGCCTTCTCTCCTCCTTCTTCCTCCCTCTCCTTTCCTCCTCTCCCCTCCCTCTCTCGCCCGCCTCTTCCTCCCTCTCTCCTCCTCTCTCCTCCTCTTGCCTCTCCCTCTCACCTCCCTCTCTCCTCTTCACCTCCTCTCT